AAGTCAGGGCCATTTGATGGATGGAGATAGTACTCTTCTTACACCTGTTGTACCAAAACTGACTTACCAATAAAATGCTAATGAAGATAGGAAGAAGAGGCTGATTTCCAGCCAAAAAGGCCTAAGGGACCACATCCAGACTGAACTAGAGAGATGGTTCCTAAGGTAACCAACCTCTTGGGGCTGGGGCTTGACTAGAACATACAACCATATAGGAATGAAGGCAGTGAACTCTTCTTTATAATCCTCACACTGAGATTTCTTTTCTATCTATATAATGTGTGTATACTTCAATCTCTCACATTTTAATCTCACATTTTAATTATTCTCTAGCTCTGGAGATTCACTGGATGGAACACATCTGGTACTTTAAAAGTATATATTAAGTACTGATACTGTTATAGTGTGATTTTTATAAAATATATCTAAATACATGAAGATACTGCAATCTAGATCTTTCTTTTCCCAAATGGACTGCCACAATTGTGCCCATTTAGAGTCTCTGATTTTAAAGAGTTCATTTGGAAAACAGAGTTAAACGCGAGTGTTTCTATTTGTAGCAAACAAAAGTCCATCTATGGCCAGGTGCAACAGCTCATGCCTGTAACCCCAGCACTTTGGGAGGCTGAGATGGGCAGATCACTTGAGGCCGGGAGTTCGAGACCAGCTTGGGCAACATGGTAAAACCTTGTCTCTACTAAAAATACAAAAATTAGCACACGCCTGTAATCCTAGCTACTCGAGAGACTGAGGCAGGAGAATTGCTTGAACCCAGGAGGCAGAGATTGCAGTAAGCTGAGATCGTGCCACTGCACTGCAGCCCAGGCAACAGAGTGAGACTCTGTCTCAAAAAAACAAAAGTCTATTTACTATGAGAATGATTCTGATATTCCCTTCAAGATCCCCACAATAAATAATAACCTATATACCCAATTTTATTAAAACATGTTATCTTTTATATTGCCATAATCCATGCATACAAATGTAACAATACACATCAAAACGTCTATCATTAGTTTTCACTGAAAATTCTAGAATTCAAATTCAATGAACTTAAAACCAAATGCTATATAGTTATTGATATTTCCTGAATGAATGTCAGAGTTCTGCCACAATACATCAAAAATTCATTTCATGCAACCGAAGTGTAAGGTGAAAAACACTTTATCAATCCCTGACATAACTAATGTTTTGCTTCTATAAAAGCAAATAAATAATCAACACAACAAAATCTTATTCACTTTTTAAATAAAAACAACAAGGATTTTGTTTGGTTTATATCTAAAGAGTTAGTAACTCTAGGAAATCCAACAAATTGGCTCCAAAATATTGCTTAGCTTCAGGTTATAGATGAAAAGCATTCTGTGCTACTTAAAACAAAGCTTTAATTGTTTCTGGGAGAAGTCAGAGAAGAATCTGAGAAGGTATAAGGTTGCCTAGTTGAAAGGATGATAAAGGATTGGTTCAACTGTCTTTTTTTCCCTATCTCTATAAATAATTCTATTTTAACTTCTATTTCCTAAGGCAGAGTCACTTGAAAGCAAGTTTTAAGGCACTATATGGGGCTGGGGAAAGGAATAGGAGACAGAAACAGGAAAAGGCAATGATATAACCAAAATTTTAGCACAGCCCATTAGTAATTTTCTACTAATTAAATGTAATAAATATTTCATTTTCTGAAATAGAAAAAAATCATTCTAACTCATAACCCATTATGAAAACTGTACTTATTTTCTCTTGCTAATTAGTATTTGAGCTAATACAGAATATAAGACAAAAAGTATAAGATTTTATTACTGTACCTTTTATCCCACAGATGGCTATTCAGAAGCAAAAAATATATCTAAAGTGATAGATGCTTCTCTGAATATAGGCAAACTGAAAATAATTGTCTTCTCACTTCAGAAATACATGAAGTGACTATGATTGTTAAATCAACTGTTTCCCTTGATTCAGAATCTAGATTCTGAATCATTCAATTATAACTGTTTTTGAATCGCTTCCCAGCCTCCTACTTTTAAAGAATAGTTCTGACTCCAAGTTCTTCAAGTGCCCTGTTTTCAGAGACACAGTTAAAACAACAGGGTAAATAGTAGTAACATTTTTACTCTGTCACCTAGGCTGGGGAGCAGTGGTGCTATCATAGCTCACTGCAGCCTCAGATTCCTGGGCCCCAGCAATCCTCCCACCTGAGCCTCATGAATTGTTGGAACTACAAGTGCTTGCCACCATGCCTAATTCATCTTTTTAAAAATTTTTTGGTAGAGATGTGGGTCTCACTATGTTGCCCAGGCTGGTCTTGAATTCCAGGCCTCAAGTAATCCTCCTGCCTTGGCCTTCCAAAGTACTGAGATTACGGGCATAAACCACTATGCCCAGCCTTTCATATGCTTTTTTTTTTTTTTTTTTTTTTTTTTTTGAGGCGGAGTCTTCACTCTGTCGCCCAGGCTGGAGTGCAGTGGCACCATCTCGGCTCACTGCAAGCTCCGCCTCCCGGGTTCGCGCCATTCTCCTGCCTCAGCCTCCGGAGTAGCTGGGACTACAGGCGCCCGCCACCGTGCCCAGCTAATTTTTTGTATTTTAGTAGAGACGGGGTTTCACCATGTTAGCCAGGATGGTCTCGATCTACTGACCTCGTGATCTGCCCGCCTCGGCCTCCCAAAGTGCAGGGATTACAGGCGTGAGCCACCGCGCCCGGCCCTTTCATATGCTTTTTAACCCATTCTTGAAAGACTTTTGTGATAGCCAATATATAACTTTGACACATTAAATTATTCACACATTGTGGATTAAGTCAGCTGTAATCACTAAATGATCTAATCCCAAAGCCAGCTCTAATCCCACAATGGGATCACCTAACAAGATTTGAATAAACAGTAACAGAACTCCTTTCTGAGCTCTTTGAATGTATCCTTTAAAAAGTTACAAACTAAAATCATGAGACATAAGTCTTTATTACCATAAAAGTTTAAGCACATTTTCCATGACATTATGTATTCTAAATCCTTAAAGACTGAAACTATGTCTTATTTCTTATGTTCTTTTTATCATGGAGTACGGGAAATCATATGCATGATAAAATTTTATTAGAACATACCAGACTGATATCCATTCATTCATACAATACTTTTGAGTGAACACTCTTGCAAGGTACCATGAAATATACTGGTGAATAACACAGTCATTTTATTTCATTTTATCTTCTCAAAACCAGTGGCGGTACAGCCAATAAAGAAACAATTATAAATTGTGTCCTAACACTAAAGAAAGCATTGAATAGGATACAGTGGTAAAAATAAATAAATAAATAAATAAAACAAAACAAAACTAATTAAAAGCTAATTAGGGGACAGGAAAGGCTGCTATTCTGAGGAGGCAACACCGAACCCAGAGGATAAGTAGCCGGCCTTGGGCTTCAGCTTATTCAGTGAGAACAAGCTGAAAATCCTTGAGGCAGGAAGCAACTCGCTTATTTAACAACAAAAGCAGCTAGTGTGGCTATAACATAGGTAGTATGATACATGGATGAAAAGCCATTATCATAAAGGTGGCCTTGCTGGCCTGGTTGAGGAGTTTGGGTTTTCTTTGTTTATAATAGGAAGCCAGGAGGTTGATATAAATTGATTTACGTTTTGAAAAGAAGATTATGGCTGCTGGGTGGAAATGTATCAGGAGAAAGATGGTAAAAGAGGAAATGGGGAAACCAGTTAGGAAGTTACTGCAATAGTCTAGGCTAGAAATAATGGCAACCTAGGCAGCAATGGAGCTAAAGAGTCGGCTAAGGGATATTCTTGTGGATACAAATGATAGGTTTATTTAGAAGTAAGATATTGAAAGAGAAGGAAAATGACTCACTGGTTTCTGACTTAGGCAACAGGGTAAACAGTAGTGCCACTTTTTACTGATAGAACAGGGAAAAAACAAGTAGAGAAAAAAACAACAGTCAATAGTTCTGTTTTGGACATTTATAATTTAGAGATGGCCGTTGAGATAAGCAAGCAGAAATGTCAAGGTGGATAAACAAAACTGGAGACAGTAAATAGGTTAATGCTAGAAATAGAAACTAAAGAATACTAAGCATATAGACACCATGGGAATAAATTCAATCACACAGCTTAGTGACTTTCAAATTTGGTGTACATATAATGCCAACTTACTTAATGACGATGTGGATCTGAACCCCACCTCCAGAGATTCTGATTCAGTATGCCGGGGGAGAGGTCTAAAAATCTGCTTCTTAAAGTAAGTACATGGCTGATTCTAATGCAGCTGACCCTCATACTACATTTTGAGGAGCACTGATCCAGACAAAGACAGGAGAGAAAAAAAGAAGGTCCAAACTGAGAATTACAAACTGCCAAAATGTAAATCTTGAGTAAGGGAAGAAGAGTCTGCAAAAGATACTGAATAGGAACAAAAAGATAAAGAAAACCAGACTGTGGTGTACTCCAGAATTCAAGTAAAAGAAGGGAGTGTTAAACTACATTGAATACTGCTGAGAAAAAGTAAGGTAGCAAGAGAAAAGTGAACATAACAATAGATATAACAAGGAAAGTTCACTGGTCACCTTGATAGGAAGAGATGGAGATAATCTAGAGCACTTTATGTAGTGAATGGAAAATGATATTTCAAGACATTTTTGGCTCTGAAGGAGAATAAGTAAAAGATATGGTAACTGGGGAAGGACAAAGGGTATATAAGAGGCTGTGCAGAATCCTTTTATAGTCTATTTTTGACCAGACCTTTTGTAGTAGAATCCTTTAATAGTCTATGTTTTACCAAAGTAACTATGTGAATTCTGTTATTTCACATAATAAAGTCATTGTTTTTAAAAGCCTTTCTTTTCAAACTTTAAATATACCACCTATGATCACACAGAATTTTTCAGTTGTTAATATATAAAACAATTTCTCTCCTAAACAGAGAATCAAAATTTCAAATCTTCCCTTTCCACAAAAAAGTCACAACTAATTCATACCCTAGCTCTACATGTTATTTACCCTTGCAAGATCTTCTATTTCAGAACTGAAGTTTGTTTCTCCTTCCATCATTTCTTCCTCTTCTAATGTTCGTTCATCATCAAAATCGTGAACCAGCATGTCAGCTGATGGATCAAATTCATGGTCATCTGATGTTGCTGAACCTCCTGGTAAGGAATATTTCAAAAAGTTTGGTAAACCAAATTAAGTGGATCTTATTAATATTAATGTATTTATTTTTATTTGAAGCTGGATGTAAGTCAAAAGTACCAAGAAAAAGCTACGCACAGCAACTATTATATATTGCTTTTTAACAGTTACAATGGCAAAATGGGAGGAAAATGTTTACAGTTTTAAAAGTGTTTATAATGTTATAAATATGAAACAAGTTGTAAATAATAAATGGTCATATCCAATAAGAACAGGTTTTTCCTGTGGAAAAAAGTCACAATTCTTTTTTGTCTTTTTCTTCTTTGAGACAGGGTCTCGCTCTGTCTCAGGCTAGCATGCAGTGACACAATCATAGCTCACTGCAGCCTCGACCTCCTAGAGTCAAGCGATCCTTCTACCTTTACCTCCAAAGTAGTTGGGAATACAACCACCACACCCAGCTAATTTTTAAATATTTTTTTGGTAAAAGCAGGGTCTTGCTGTGTTGCCTGGCTGGTCTTGGACTCCCAGGCTCAAGCAATCAACCTGCCTTGGCTTCCCAAAGTGCTGGGATTACAGGTGTACCTGGCCCTAAAAAACACAATTCTTAACCATTTGATTGATGTTTGATAGACCCAAAGAGTTTGAACTCCTCTGGCCCATGAGGAGACTGTAAGTCAGCCCTCGGCTTCTGTGTCTGTGGATTCAACCAACAGCAGACTGAAAATATTAAGAGAAAAAACAAACAAAAAACCTCTGTCTGCCTTCAACATGTACAGGCTTTTTTCTTGTCATTATTCCCCAAACAACACAGTGTAACTATTTACACAGTGTTTACCTATATTAGGTATTTTTTATATATATATACATACACACACACACACACACCAGAGATTATGTAAAGCATATAAGAGAATGTGCATAGGTTACACACAAATACTACGCATTTTGTATCAGGGATTTGAGCATCCACAATTTTGATATCTGAGGGAGGTTCACAGATACCGAGGGATGACTGTATAGTCATGTGAAATATACAGTCATCTGAATACACAGTCTAGTGAAGACACAGCTGCACTCAAATATTATTATTCTGTAAGTACTTCCTTGAAAATACATTCTAGTGGCTGGATGTAGTTGCTCATGCTTTAATCCCAGCACTTCACGAGGCCAAGACGGGAGGATCACTTGAGCCCAGGAGTTTGAGACAGGCCTGGGCAATATAACGAGACCCCATCTCTAAAAAAAATTTAAAAATTAGCTGGGTGTGGTGCTGTGCGACTGTCATCCCAGTCAGTAAGGAGGCTGAGGCAGGAGAACTGCCTGAGCCTGGGAGGTCAAGGCCACAGTGAGTCATGATCACACTACTGCACTCCAGCCCAGGAAACAGAGCAAGGGCCTGACTTTAAAAAAAAAAAAAAATCTAATATTTGGGTAGCTGTCCTTAATTTAGTGGATTTTGATCAGAAATAACCCAAAAGACTGAGTAGAAGAGCAAAATTTATTAAAACTGCATACAGAACTCTTATCAAAGTCATTAAAAATAATCTAGTAGGTAACTGACATGTGGTTGGGGAATACTGCTGGACCCTATAGGGTCAAGCTTTGTAAATAGCATAATGCAAAGGCTGGGCATACATAGTCTGTAAAATATCCCCATGTTTTACTACTGCCAATGTGGACCTAGATTTGCAAAAGCATTGTTTACTAATAAACAAATGAGTTACTGAACACTGAAAAATTAGCAATTTTTAAAGTTTTAACTGTTGATGGTTAGACATTAATAGATGTACCTATTCTTTCATTTCACTCCAGAAAGAGAACCAATAAGTAAAGCAAAGAGACAGAGCTGACTTCTTGAAAATCTGACTATTATGAATAAAGGAGTGCCCAAGGCTTAGGGTTTTTCAGTTACAACAATTTTCAAAAGAATCATTTTTTGAGTGCTTACTATGTGCCAGACAGTATGTTCAAGCACGTCATATACATTATCTCAATTAATCTTCAAATAATCCTACGAAGTAGGTATTATCACCCCATTTAAAGAGGAAAAAAACAAAATAAAAACTCAAGGCTTAGAGATTTTAAGTAGCAAGTCTAAACTTACAATAAACGGCAAAGATGAATTTGAATTCTGGGTATACTAATCCCAACACCTATGCTTTTATTGCACTCCAAGCCTCCCGTAAATTAATTTAGTATACCGCCTCAAAGAATACTCAACGAGAGTCTATGTACTAAGACAAGTGAATGCCAGCCAGGTCACATGGCGAAGCACTTAACATCATTGTGCCCTTTCAGAAGCACAATACTGATACTAGACCAGGCGCAGTGGCTCATGTCTGTAATCCCAGTACTTTAGGAGGCCAAGGCAGGAGGATTGCTTGAGCTCAGGGGTTCAAGAAAAGCCTGGGCAACACAGTGAGACCTCATCTCAAAAAAGAAAGGAAGAAAGAGAAAGGAAAAAAGAAAGGAAGAAAGGGAAGGAAAGGGAGAAGGAAGGAGGGAGGGAGGAACTGATACTAAATAGAAAACTAAAAACATAATTATATGCCAAGTCAGATACCTTCTACCAGTGTATAGTAAAAATGAATTAACGCTTATCAAAGTTTTAGAATAATTTACAAAATAAAAACTTTTAGAAAAGCGTATTATCTTAATTTTCTTCCAGAAATTAAGAAAAGCTTAGCACAGTTTCAGCAGAGCATCTTAGTACTGCTTGAGGGAATGGACACAAGGGTTTCATAGGCGCACAATTTGAGAATATAGGTGTAGTTTTCTGTCCCAATCCTTTTCTCTTCTGAGTTTTCAAAAGAAAACTCTCCTCAAACTTTTCAGTTCACTCAGGAATCTTCTGGAACACTGAGTGGTCCAGTAAATATGTATCCCTACAAATGATGCTATACTTTTCTCCCTTGTGGACAGAAAGACCCTAAAAAGTCTTCACACCATCTCTTTGTATACTATTATCCCACTCAGAATATAATTGTAATTGGACACAGGTAATATCAAAAATAATTATGCTTAATTCCTTGTTATACTCTATTGACTTTTTAAAAAATTCAAGTTCACGGGTACACAGCATCAAATCATGTGTTATAACTCACCTGATGTCCATTTTTTGTTATTATTTGCAAAGCCAATTATGTATGAAGACTTGCCATTTCACTCCCTTATTACATCAAATAACAAAGTGTAGGTGAACTACTTCCTGTCTCACTCCAATTCCTTTCCCTACATGCACACTACGCTTTTTTCCATAAACTTTCCATTTTCAGTTTTTCTCTTTCCTTAATCTGATCTGTTTCATCTGACTTCTTTTTGCCTTGTTCCTTAGAACCAACTAACCATCTTATTCTTGTCAATAGCTAGGTCCACCATTAGGCTGTCTCCTAGGGAAAAAAAAACCCAATGATAAATCATTAGGGGTAATGGGTCTGGTGCTTTGTATACATTAAGTATTTTGCATCAGAGTTAGGCAAATGTCACTGCTTTGTCATGAAATCCCATGCTACTGCTGAAAAGGTACCTTATATCTTTTCAAAGGTAAATTTAGTTTGTATCATGTCTACTCATTTAACCACTTTTTAAATTATCTTCACCTCCATAATTCCCTATCTCTAACGGCTACTAGTCTGACAGGTAAAAAGCCTTACATTGTGCCTCTACTTTGGCTTACACTGGAGACTACAAACAAAGCAATTAATGTGGTCATGTGACTATTATTACTAGCACTGATTGCAAAGTACAGATGCTACAAAGGATACAGCCTTTTCACCAGGGGACCGAAAAATTTTTTACATGACTATTGCTAATTTTCTCTACCAACTTTTATAACTGGTTGTAATTAGCATTATTTATAAGAACAATAAACACTGCCCTGGGCAGAAGCCTCATATAACAAATACTGTCTAACCCAAAAGATCTATCTCAGTCTGAAAACAAGCTAAAGAAAACCGGATTTTCTGAAAATTGAACTAAACTGAAAACTGAAAACATTCAGTCTGTTAAGTATTCAACAAGTAGCAAAGCGATCAAAGACTTTTTTTTTTTTTTGAGAGAAGGAGTCTCGCTCTATAGCTCAGGCTGGAGTGGCGTGATCTCAGTTCACTGCAACCTTCACCTCCTGGGTTAAAGGATTCTCCCACCTTAGCCTCCCAAGTAGCTGGCCTACAAGCATGTGCCACCGTGCCTGGCTAATTTTTGCATTTTTAGAAGAGACAGGATTTCACCATGTTGGCCAGGCTGGTCTCAAACTCCTGACCTCAAGTGATCCACCTGCCTTGGTCTCCCAAAGTGTTGGGATTACAGGCATAAGCCACTGCGCCTGGCCAACATTTGTATTCTTCAAACTCCATTATTCTTCCAGTTCAGCCTAGGCTGATTCAAATGTAATGGAAACTGAGAAAGCCACTTACTAATACCACTTTCTTAGTAATTATTTTATGTATGTATGTACTATCGGATGAATGCCTCAAAAATTCATCAGAAATATCTCAGTTTTATTTGCAATATCACAATACTATAAAAAACAAGTAGGACCTATTTTTTCTATGAAAACAATTTCTGTGTTTGAAAAAAAAAAACCAGAAATAATTCCATGTCCTAAAAATGAATATAGTGACCTAACACTTATGTAAGATCAGATTACTCCCAATCTTAACCATCCAAGATATACATATAAAACAGAAAGTTCAAAAAAAATGGTTGAGTTTCAGAAATGCACAAAGTCTAATGCACTTTACTCTCAAGCATATTAAAAAGAGTAAGATGCTTTCAGCTGAAATCAAAAGGACAAAATCAGCGTCAACTGAGTACACTAGTCATTTAAAAAGGACATGGATGTGATCTAGTCCAACCCTCAGAGTCCAATAATTCATGTTCATAGAAAGGACCTTGCACCATGAAAACAGGCGTATCTTATGTTAAGCATTGTTAAAAGCTTTCTTCCTAAAACTTAAAACACAGAAAGATGATTGCTTCAATAATCTGGAAAATTTAGTAATACAGAATACATCATATCTAAGTACTCAATACATGTGAGGTGTTTTCAAATAAAACATTACTATGCCTCACTTTCTCACTCTTCTGTATTGGACTACTCTTCAACCCACATATCTCATGCAGAAGGCAGTCCCATTTCTCTTGATAGTCACGGGACACTGAGGCTAAAAGACTAGTACTTGACTCTTTCCTCACTGCTTCAACTCCAATGAATTACTACCATGTAGAAATACTGTACCCAGTGGTGCCAGACCATGGGAACCCTAAATCCAGATTTCACATATAAAATATCCTTATTTTTAAAGATCACTACAGTGGCCAAACAAACCAAAAAAAAAACCACATTTGTGGCACAGATCTGATTCAAAGATCACAGGTTTGCAATCTCTAAGAAAAAAATGAATATGTGCTATATTTGAGAGAGAATACAAAAATCCCAGGTGTGGTCAGAACATAAAACTTGATCCTACTCAAATCTAAGAATGATTTCCTTATTTAGAATATTCCTTATTTACATTACATATTCACTTGTTGAATCTTTTGCTTATTTTCCCCTCCCTCTGAAATACATTAACAATTTTTTCTCAAATAAAAATACTTTGAAATTCCACATAAGCAAATATTTCTAATGATTTCTATTTATCTATTCTATTAAATATTTCTAAGCTAACGATTCCTTTTTAAAAAGTACACTTTATATATATACTACAAGTCAAACAATAATGTACAACTGTGAGAAATACATATGGCAACTCACCAAAAAAAGGAAAACCCCCCAAAATAGTCATTTTTAGGATGAAATCACAGCAGCCTCACCTGTACTTTCATGGGTAGTCAAACATTTCATCCATTTCTTTTTCCCCAGAGAAAAGAAGCATTCAGAAGAAAAGCAAGTCAGATAATAGTCTAACTCCTCTAGTCTTTATGTAACTAATAGGACAAATGTTACTCAAACAGAGATTATAAAAAATATAGAAAATACTTACCTGGACTTGAAGATTCAACAGATGGCTGAGAAGAGGAGAAAAGAGGAAAAATTAGTATTTCTGCACAATGTATCTTCACAAACATTACCAAAATTATTCAATGACTACTATGATGCCAAAAACTATGGTAAGTTTTGATGTCTGCATTTTAGTTCTAATGTCTGCATTTTCTAAGACAAACTAAAACCTCCCATATAATCCTTTCCCTTTCATTACATTTAAGCATAAAGAAAAATTCCAAACACTCCTGAATCTAGAAATAAAGACAATAATATAGAGTTCAGATTTTAAAGGCACATGTGGACTTTGTAACATATGTGGTGGTTTAAGTAGTATGATTTTAGATCTTGGAATTTTCTGAAATAGATTTTCTCCTATCAACACAGAACTATGCACAAAGTTTGCTATCAAGCTGGTCTCTGACTTAAAAAAAGTGAGTGTGAGATGGGAGACAGAAATAATTTAGGACATTATCTCAAATAAAAATTAAGTTGTAACAAAGCAAAATGAAAAATTAAAATTCTAAGCACTAAACACTATATTAGGTTAACTTTACTGATAAACAATGTATTTTTAAGTTATAACAGAATTAGCAAGCATTCAAGCAAAAGCCTACAGAGTTTAGGTTATCTGATGCAAGACTACACAGATTTCCAATTATAATGCTCCTTCTACTCTACCATTCTACCTATTATAAATTTAACCACAACTTGAAAATTTGAAAATAAAACTGGTAGCAACTTATTTCAGTACTGCTTGACAATGCACAGTTGTGTTTTAGTTCAGTTAATTCACAATTATAAACAAATCATCTACAAACGTAAGACTCCTACAAAACAAACATTAAAAACTCAAAAGATGCTTCAAATAACATGAACTAAAGCTTCACCAATTCATTCAGAAGTATCTATTTCATGCCCATAAGAAAATACAGGTGGTGGGAGGCCAAAAGCACTAGCAGAGGAAAGATAGGGATCTTGCAGTATTTTCTTTCTGCTAAGTAATGGGGAAGAGAGGCAAGAAGAAAACAGAAGAATGAAATTCTCTATTTTTCAAAAACGATGTGTCTAAGACAAATTCCTATAGGGTATTAAAATTGTTTTTAAAACTGTACATATTATGTAATTGTAGTAAGCATGGGATTCTATATTCCATATGGTGACTCACATTCTTTTGCAGCACACTATTTCAAAGGTCCTACTTTTTCTGTTAAATTCTTATAAGAGAATAATTCCTTCCTATAGCATTGTCTAGCAAAAATCTGACAATAACCAGTATCGCGTATTTCCAATGATACACCACTATCATTATTTTAAAGTTACTCTGCCAGAACACAGTAAACACAGTGCTACTTTTAAATCTCTTTGCTCTAATGGGAAGCTGGAGAACAGGGTGACATAGCAAGAGTAATGTAACCACAAAAAGGGTTTCCAGCTTGCTTAACATCTTTTGGGCAAAGCTACACATTTCTGGTTCAAAACGGAGTTAACGACCACACAAATTATTACATAGTAAATCAATATTTTAAAATATTAATCCACTTGTGTTTCAAGTAGTTATACTTCCCAGCTGTAGGCAAAACCTTCTCTGTAAGGCTACAAGCAATGTTAATGACCATCTTCATCTAATCCTACGCTCACTACCCACATAAAATAAGACTTACAAACATTGGAATAATTATTCCATTTAACAGTTTTCCGATTTAAGAAAAAAGGCTTTTTAATTACAAGTTACTTTATTGAAGAATAAGTTACATTTTTATTGATGTTAGATATTAACAATAGAGATTTTGAATTGTAAATGGTGTTCATATACTTCAGTTTGTAAAAGGCCTCATGAGTCGTGAATGCCAAAAAATACCTTACTGATTGTTGCTCTGGTGGTAAATAAAGTTCTGAAAAAGGCTGCAAATACTTTCCTATGATTAAGATACCACATGCTTGAGGACAAGTAGCATTTGTAAGCATAGCTGATACAGAGTACAACACCCAGTGTTCAAAGGTAACATTAGTGATTATGTCAGACATACTAGAATGTTTCAATGACTATGATTTAAAGGCACATCTAGATTAGCACAGGGGGAGAACTAGAGTGGTCTGCCTACAGATACATTTAGTATCCATATATATTTTAGTATTTTACTTCCAAAATAAAATTCTGTTCTATATGTTTGGGGGTAGGATTGAGCTTAGATTCTTTAAAGTTAAAAATATCCCATTAAATCAAAGATGAGTTTCTAAAAAATTGGTATTTGAAAACATTTCATACTGTAAACATTACTTTGTATAGCTAATTATCAAAAGTGATGATCTTTCAAAAAAACAAGTGAGTTTAGCATCTTAATATAGGAGATTTGGGTGTGGAATAAGGGTACTTTTTATTTAGATATGAAATAAAATAGCACATCCAGCTTACATTTATATAGTGCTACACATTTTCTTTTCTTTCTTTTTTTTTTTTTGAGATAGAGACTTGCTGTGTCGCCCAGGCGGAAGTGCAGTGGCATGATCTTGGCTCACTGCAGCCTCCGCCTCCCAGATTCAAGCGATTCTCCTGCCTTAGCCTACCAAGTAGCTGGGATTACAAGCGTGTGCCACCATGGATGGCTAATTTTTGTATTTTTAACAGAGACAGGGTTTCACCATGCTGGCCAGGCTGGTCTCAAACTAACCTCAAGTGATCTCCCTGCCTCGGCCTCCCGAAGCACTGGGATTACAGGCGTGAGCCACCATGCCCAACCCAGTGCTACACATTTTCAAAAGCATCTAGTTAGCTGATCATAATCATAAATATCGGAATAATACCTGCCCCACCTACCTCATTTTATAAATTAGTAAACCCAAGGAGATACACTGACTAGATCAAGGTTCCATGGCAGGTGGTGAAGGCAGGCCTGATGTCTAGACCCTGACTCCTCCTTCTATACCTTCTATAGTGTTCTTTTGTACCTTCTAGAGACATAACTGCTCAAATTTTTCACTCTTCACTTCTCTCCTCCTTCACTCTCACTTTTTTCTTTTTTCTTTTTTTTGAGATGGAGTCTCGCTCTGTCGCCCAGGCTGGAGTGCAGTGGCGTGATCTTGGCTCGCTGCAATCTCGGCCTTGTGGGTGCAAGCGATTGCCCTGCCTCAGCCTCCTGAGTAGCTGGGACTACAGGTGCACAACACCACACCCAGTTAATTTTTTGTATTTTAGTAGAGATGGGGTTTCACCATGTTGGCTAGGATGGTCTCGATCTCCTGACCTCGTGATCCGCCCACCTCGGCCTCCCAAAGTGCTGAGATCACAGGTGTGAGCCACCGCGCCCGGCCTCTCTTTTCTTTTTGAAATGATTTTCATCAGTTCAAAGTATGTTTAAAATGTGACTGCAAGTAGTCATCTGTCACTTCAGACTGTTATCAGTCTTCAGAAACTGTTACTATAACAATACCTTCCAGGAAAACCCCCAACATCTACCATTAATTACTACCATAAACTAGAAGGGAGAAAGGAGAGAGAAAAACAAAACAAAGGAAGGTGGGGCAGCTCACACCTGTAATCCTAGCACTCTGGGAGGCTGCGGCAAGCAAATCACCCTAGGTCAGGGGTTTGAGACCAGCCTGGTCAACATGGCAAAATGCTGTCTCCACTAAAATACAGGCGCCTGTAATCCCAGCTACTTGGGAGGCTGAAGCAGAATTGCTTGAACCCAGGAGGCAGAGGTTGCAGCGAGCCCAGATCGTGCCACGGCACTCCACCCTGGGCAACAGAGACTCCGTCTCAAAAAAACAAAAACAAAACAAAACTAAAGCTAAGTGCGTGCTTATTTATAACAATACCTATTTTTAGAAAAAATACTTTTAGGAAGGATGATTTAAAATTGGGTTTTAAAAAATATTTAAAATGCACTCATAATGTTATCAGTAGAAATAAGTTATGTCAACCACACTGGATATCATTTTGCCAACATGAACTTATCCTACTGATAAATTTAAAAACAGACACCAAGACATAGATATATAACATTCACTACCACAAAGTTGTAGCAAAAAGTTAGAAAACATTTAAAGTCCATCACTTAGCTGATTAGAAATGATACACAGTTCTTCCATACATAGTTCTCCAAACAATAGAACACTATGACTCCATTAAAAATAATGAGATATCTGTTTGTGTTGACAGAGGAATAAATGCCAAAAAAAATTAGCAGTATAAAGAAAACTGTAGGACAGCGTGTAAACTGGGCTGGAATATGGAATAATATGGAATAAATTTTTTTTTCCTCAAAAGGACATACAAGAACCTGTTAACAATAGTTACGTCTAGGGAATGGGGTAAGGGAGAAGAGGCTTTTTTCATTTAATACCGTTCTGTACTGTTGAAATTTTCTAACCACTTTCATGCACTATGCATTCTTTCTTAAAATGAAAGTCACTATGGACAGACTGTCTTGTGGAATTACGAGACATTTTCATTTTCTTCCTCTAAATTTTGATTTTTAAGAAAACCAGCACTTGCTACTATTTTTTAAGCCATAATTTTGAAAAATTCAGTGTTTTGGGGGTACGTATTTATCTTATCTGAGATAGAAAACAACACTAGAGAGACAAAGACTGGATACAGAGTATGCAGGGCTAAAACAAATTAAAAACAAACTCCAGTAACTTTTATAGCAAGTTGACCCTCACGCACATATTTGTATGATTTAGTTGATAAAATTGCTAATAGTTGTAACAAATATTCAATGCCTCAGGTTTGCTGAAATAATTCTTTTACATTTTTCTAGAACATGGTGGGAAATGGTCCCATACAACAGAAAACTATAATTTGAGAGTAAAGAAATAACTAACTACAACATTACCATTATTTTCACCAAAAAATACCCTAACAACAACATAATAGAAACATGAAGGAATTACTAGAATTTTTTTATTCCCGGCAATCAAAAGCTCACTTTGAATGAGTATTACTGTCTGAACAAATTTTTCTCCTCAAACCAATTCCACCACCATTTCTTTAAGTATTGCTATCACCTTCTTAGTTGTG